ATTGCCAGTTCAGCTAAGTTCATACACAACCTGACTGTAGTTTTACTTGCTTTATTTTGTAAGAGTCCTTTTCCTTGTGCACAGACAGCTATTCCACTGAAAGGGAGGGTGGGGGGAGACACACCTTTAATGCAGGTCTTCATTTTACTTTCTAAAGGAACTGCTGCCCAAATGCGTCATCTTGTCCTGGTTTGGACAAATAACCTCTCTTTAATTCCAAGTTCCACCTGGGCTGGGGGGAAAAAAAAAAAACAAACCCTACTGGTATCCAAGAACCACATTTTATAGCTAGTTCAGTGAAGTCTACATGTCAGTCTGTAACAAAACTAATTCTGGGACATACATATCACAGATAGAAACGTCACACCAAGTAGGAAGCAAAGTATGAGCCAAAGAACTACGAAAGCAAAATAAAAGTTCATTCAAAACATCGATGTAGATACACACAAAAAACCCTGGACTAGCATTTAAGAGTTTTGCAGTGGTATTTAGCATGAAAGTATTAAATACTATTCACTAATGTGCAGACCCAAAAGGCAGACTATTGAAAATGTTCCCCCAGTTTCACATCAAACCATTGACAGTTACTTTGTGAGCTGCTGAAGTTTTTGAAAAGACTGGTTATTCTAGGTGATACTTTTCTTGTTTGCCTATGAAAATATGATGATGAACATCAAAAGTGTTGGTGAGGTCAAAAGTAATTCCAACTGTTACCTCCCCTTTTATCCACTCTTAGGACTGTTATCCTATCCTACACAAGCAGCAAATACTTTTAAATTAACTAAAAATTAAGTTCTCCATATTCTTTAACTGCTTAGAAATCCACATAATCTGTGTCTTTCTAAGTAGGAAAGTAGGAAAATACTGTTGCCCTTTCCCTGCCCACCTCTCAGCTTTCCACCTAAAATCCAGCCACCATTGCTTCTCTCACCATGTCCTCGCAGTGGCATTATCTTTAGCAAAACTGGTGGACAATTCTCCAAATACCCCTTTTTAAATGAAGGCACTACTTTAGTGCTTCTCCAGTTCTTTAGAAAGCCCCAAAGCCCTTCATGAGTTCATGATGAAAATTGCTAATGTTTTTCCTATAGTTCCCCATTGACTTACTGAAAAAAATCACTAATGTTCTTCCTGTAGTTCCCCATCTACTTGAGCGTGAGCATCAAGGTCCTACAACCCTAATTAGTCAAGGAAGATATTCTCAATTTCTTTTTATCAAGGAGTATGAAAAAATGAACTGACATAATCTAAAACCCGCTCTCTTTGTGAAGAATGAAGCAAAGAAATCAATCAAACCAGCTCCAATCCTCCATCATCTTTCCATCATCTATTAGCAACTCTGTTTTCCTGTTAAAATGACAGGCATAGAATTCCTTTTGCCTTGTATTTTCCATGTATTCAGACAAGCTTTTTCTGTTTTGTTTTATGCTATAAAATTGTGAAAATTCCCATCTTCGTACAGCTAAGTATGGAGGAGTGAAGGACATGATAACTGAACATAGATGAGGAAGACGTGTGAGCTCTCCTAGACCATTCTTAGGCTAAACCAAATTTTTGTAATTTTGGGCTGTTGCCAGGGAAGTTGAACAAAGAATTCAGTTAGGTGTCCCTGGGTTCACAGTGGAGGATGGCTCAAGACAGTTTAAATAAGACTGCTACAATGCAGATTAATGGGGGAAATGGGAAAAGTAGTATTAATACTTAGGCTCACTGTATAAAGAGGACCAGCCAAAGACTGGACATTGAAACTACATTACCACAGATCTCTGTACATCCAGACGTTAGCCCAGGCAGCTGAGACTTGCCTGTTTTGCTGGCAGTGCTGACTTGTTGCAGTGGAGATGTCAAAACAGACGAACAAAAAATGAGCTGAACTTGGCGGAACTGTGAAAACAACCAATAGAGGCAGCAAAGCAGCAGTTTGACCAGAGGACTGTTTTCCAAGAGACACTGTGATCACAATGGGATTAATTTTAAAATTTTAAAGAATAAGTTTAAATTTAAAAAACCCCATAAAGCTAAATTTTCTTTATTCTGTCCCCTCTCTCCATGTAGTATCAGCAGAAGACAGAATGGGGGGACTGCAGTCACTGCAGTGTTAGATTTTTAACACTACAGAAACAATCTTAAGAGAAAAGGATCTCAAATAACCTTAAAGTACAGCTGCCGAGATCCTGCATTTTCCTCACCGATCAGCAGAGATTTGATAGCAGTTTCTGTGCAGAGGCAATGAAAGCAAGCTGAATACAGTAGGCAGACAAAAATAAATTTACAGCCCCCTCCCATCAAATACCATTTTCCAAAAATGTTTTAAAAAAAATATTTACCAATTCCATGCTATTCCAAAAGATGATTTTCAACTTCATAAACTTTCATTAGCTGGAATTTACTCTTTTTCTACCTTATAAGAGAAGTTTTAGAGGAAATAAGTCTTTCATGGAAGAACTGATAAAATAGGTAAGTCATAATAACTGAATGATGTTATACAAAAATGTAAACGAGATAACTGAAAGGTGTTAAGTAGCACGTGGACAGTAAATGCTTCCTCCATTTGCATTTCACTTCTGTATTTATTTAATTCCCTTGTGAATATCCTCAAGACAACCTTCCCTCACCAGCCTGCAGGACAGAGCAATTGTCTCATCTCGCACCTTCAGCTCCAAACTTGAATATTTTTGCTGGTGATTGCTGCGTGTTTGACTTGCACTGCATTACTAGCAGCAAGCAGCTCTGAGTCATTTTCTGTTCATAACACTATAGAATGCACCCATAGCAGTACACCTGTAAAAAGAAAATCGACAGCTAAATAAAACAGTGTAAAAAGTAACTCACCTGTCACTCGCAATTAGACACAAATAGAGCCAGAAAATACAGTTGTTGTTCTATGTACTAAATCTACAGTTAAAAATAAGCATTCCTAAAACGGCCCACTTGCAGCAAGAACATCAGAGAAAGCTACTTTTTATGGACTACAAATACTAGAAGCAGAAAAGACTGTTTACCAGCAAAAAGTTTTAATAGCAGCATTTTGAAAAAAATACTGTGAACATTGATAGTCTGTATGTATTGCTCCCTCTAGTGTAAAAAATGCAAAATCACAATCAACAAACATTCAGAAAAATCAGTTTGGTAACAGACTTTTTTTTTTTTTTAAAAAAAAAATCATTCTCTGTTTTTTCCCTAAATATTTATAACATGATTCCTCACATTTTAATACAAGAGAAGACAAATTTTAATTTCATTTCAGCTTCTGATCTGGGATTCTCACACTTTATTAGCAGGAAATGATTGTACCAGAAGAGAGTAGTGAATATGCAAATCTATACCCTGTATTTACTGCTGTAATGCTCCCCAAGAAATCAGTAAGATACAGTGTGGTGTTCCCTTCTTTTTTTTGCCTTCCACTAAAATACTGATTTCTGCTCTATGGTTATGTTACAGTTATTAATGGTGTCATAGAAGAACTTGGTCTACAATGTAGTGAAGCACATTCTGACATGCACGTATTCATTTGACTACTGTACCTAGTTAGGCCTTAGGATTTGGAAATAAAGCGGTTTTGGAGCTTGGATTTCCTTTCCTAAAGAGGTATGAAATCCCTTAAAAACACACAAGTCACCCTGAAGACTGACAAGTCTGAGAAATTATTTTAGACTTTAACCCACCCTGAAGAGCCACTGGATGATACTCTACTCCGGCATAAGAGAGCACGGTAACAGCCGTAGCCACGGCTGCAACCTGCTCTCAGAGAGGATCTGGGAGGGATTCCTGGGACAGCTTCCATCACATACACAGAAGAAAAACAAGGCAGCCTTTCATGCTAGTTTCATCAAAAGAATATGCAGTGTGCTTCATGAGGATGCTTAACAGGCCGCTTGTATTCAGTGAAGTTTTCCAGCTCAGAATTCTCTTAAGCGCGCACACACGCCTCTAAGATGAAGGCAGCAAATTTATGTTCTCCAAAAACTGACGGACCTGTCTCTGAAGATAAAAGCCAAAAAGTGAGACTTGGAAGTCTGAGCAAAATTCAAAATAAAGCTTTCACTGAAGATGTGATTAAACAATTTGTTACAGAATAATGAAATGAATGCTCTGCTTTTGTTTTCAAAAAAGGAGCTTTTTTCCCCCCTTCCTATGTTGCTACCATGAAAAGCAGTTGAGAACTTGGGAAGCCTTCTAATGAATCACTTGCCAACTCTGTGTTATACTTTTTTTTTTTAACTGTGACTTCATACGTAACAGGTATCAAAATTCTTATCATACAAGTACCAAATTATCATCCTCCTACTCCTATTGTAACTGCAATTTCAGCTTTCCAAGGTCTGACAGATCCAAAAAAACCATTTTCTCTGCTTGCCAGAATGAGGCTGCAAATCATTATGCAGTTTCACACACACCAAATTTGAGTATATTTGGTGGAACAAATCTGAAATACAATCTGATTCAGGGTGTTTTTTTTTTTTTTTGAAGACTCTTAATAGGCAGTCCTAACAGATCACAAGTGGTTTTACTGTCTCAATTGCACAAATTAAGCTCCATTCCCTTCAAAGATGAGCATGGTTATATGGCAGATGCTTCAAGTCATTACACAGAAGTTCTATTTAAGGCAACCACAAAATTTTATTTTTATTTTTCTACCCGACATGGCTGTTGTTTCTACCACAGCAGCGCACCTCAATGACAGTCCTTACAGGATACCTGCCAGCACTACTCCCCTTAAAACTGTGTTTACTGTCAAGACTAAGAACTATGTGCTTGATCATTTGTGAAATTTATCCAACTAATCTTTGTAATTATTAGAGTCCATTATAGGCAACTGGTCTCAGCTAGTGTAGCGTAACTAGGATACCTACCACGCAGAGGACTCAATAAGGATGATACTGCATGCCACAGCAAGAAACAACCAGGTTCTTGAACTACTGCCTTGGTAACAGCTCAGTCATGGAGTAAGAAAATGGGCACTACAGCAAAATCTCAGGGGCTAAATTCAGGACAAAATTAACAGTTGAGAAAGAAATTTTATTCAAGCTTCTAAGGGGGTATTACAAACAATAGAGAATAAAAACATTAAAAACTATTTAAAAAGTAATTGTCCCTTTAAAATAAAGATTCAAGCAGGTTTAACAATGAAGTATGCTATTCAATGAAGTTTTAAAAAAAGATTTTAAAAGTATTGGTTTTGCTGTATTTGCTAATCCTTTATAAAAAAGCTGGGCATAAATACTTCGTGCATTCATATGCATTATTTGGTGTTTCATATTATATAACTTGGTACAGTATTTAAGATATCACTGCAAAAGAGTTCAAACACAGTGCATTTATAAATAATGGAGTCATTATAAATCACATTGCAAACATACCTTGCCATTTTCATTGTTACAAATTCAGTATCTCAGTGAAGGTAGGAATAAAGTAGCTACAACAATCAATATCTTGACTTTATTTTTTTTTCTTTTTAATATAAAAATGCAGTTCTGGAAACCCACCCTCCTTCTTCCCCCTGCCCAAACATAATGCTTTACTTCTTAAAAATAAAAATAAAGTACTAATTCTATATACATCACATGTACCATACAAAAATGTATCCAAAGTTTCTATTGCTACCAAAGTGTTCTAAATCAAAAGTTACATAAATCCCCTCATTGGAAACAAAGGATTACAAGTTACAAAAAAATCAAATTACACACAAACCATCAAGTTTTTATACAATTTCCAATACATTTTTCTCCCAAAGCAAGTTGTCTTCTCATGTGCCTGTATAAAAATGCATATCAATATATTTGTCAATTTTATTTTTCATTATAAAGCAAATTAATACATTTTCTACAATAAATAAAACACAGGGAGGCACACATATCAACAAAATTAAATCAATGGGAGATAAATGGGATATGGTTTTGAAAGAAACAATGTGCTTGCAGGCTTTAAGCCAGGTTTGTTTAAAACAAAAACAATCTTAAGTTATTCTGGGCAACAATGGAGTGTTTTTGGTGATTTGCAAGTGATGTACATAGTATAACTTTTTTCTTGATGTCTTTCTCACAAAGTACCCTCCAAAATAATGCAACTTCCTTTCTTAAAATACATATTTGTAATTGTAAATTTACATCAATCTTAAATATGTGGTACTTTGTGCAAAGAGCAACGATTTACACAAACATTCAGAAGTCTTCTTCAGAAGCTACAGACCAAAGAGAAATGATACAAGCAGCACCATATTGTATACGATTTAGGCAAATATATATTTGATGTCATTTTGATATTAGGCTTTAAGATCTACTAAACACCTTAAGCTGGAAGATGGTGCTTAGGTAACTTAACCTCAGAAAGAAATAAAGGAAAAAAAGTAAAAAGCATGGAAACAAAAACCAACTCCCTCCCCAGCAAAATTATAAAAGGAATTAAAGAGCTACTTCTAAAATCAGAATAAGTTAAGTGTTGAATATACATTTATGTACAACTATGAACACTATGAACAAGACATTTTAACAGGTTTAGTGGAAAATCCTCCAAACTACAACACGATAAAATCATTAATCAATATGGCAATGGTGATTTAGAAGAATTGCTCAACTATTTCAAGTTTGCAGAACTCAGCCACTGAATCAACAATTAAGGGGTTGTATCTTCAATACATTCTTTTAGACAAGAGGTTCATTAGTAGAGTTCAAGTCTCTGTGGTATTTTTCATGCCTTGGTAGAATCTCTGTTAGTCAATATCACTGAAGTCACTGACTGGTTCTCCATGGACTCTACTCAGGTGATTCATAGCACGATCAAAAGCAATTCTTACTGCTTTTCGTATGCTTGAGTTACGGCCTTCCATCATTTTTAACTTGTCTATGGTCTCATCTATCCCAAGGGGAACCATTTTGGATTTGGGAAGCCACTGCCTGTAAGAAATTGTAAAATAAGTATGTTAAATATAGAATAAAATCAAGAAGTTTGTCCAGAAATGTCACAGTTGCTATACTGTCTTTCTCATCTAGCAGATCAGATTTACTGTCTTAAAGAAAGTGGTAGAATTCCTTTTAAGATAATACTTACCTGCCTTAAATATTTTAAGAACATGAAATACCAAGAAAGCCTCTTCCAGAAAACAAAGAATATATTCCAATTCTATGATACTTATTTAATGACTGATATCAAGTATCAAATGAAAAAAACTAGCATGAAATACTGATGCAGTTTAGGAATAGGCAGCAGAAACTAACAATGAACGTGATTCATGATTCACTTGACATAGTATTGCTTCTCTTCATTCTTTCATTTCCATTATTACAAGGAATTTGCAGATGATTAATTTTTGCCTTACACTTAAGACATCTCAACTTGCTTTTTATGGGGAAAGCTAAACTGTCACGGAAGTTCTGTTTAGCATGCTTTTACCCTGCAGTATGAAATCCCGCTAACTCTGTATTCATATTCAGAGTACCCTTCTGTTTTAAACTCCATGAATATCATTAATTGCTGGGCACACTGGAGTGATAATGAAAAAAGCTCTACACCCCATTTTTCTAGGAAAAGCATTCTAAATACCTAATTAAAAAAGCATGAAGTAAATTTCCATACATGTTTATCTTAATCCTGTTTTCTTAAGTTACAGGTATTAAGGAAAACAAAAATTAGATAAACTAATCAATATCTATTAAAAGTCTGTTACTGTAGTCTGCAATCCCAACCGTGTAAATGGCAGAAGCCATGCTTCTGTTTAAAAACTTCAGTTTCGGAGTCCATTTGAAACCAAACCAGCTGCAAATCAGACAGTGAAGTATGATATAAAACATTTTCTTCAAAGATTTTTTTAAACTGAATAAAATTGTCTCTTCAAACATTATTTTTTATTAAAGCACGCTAAACTACAACCCCATAGTACTGAGCACACACACTGAAACAAAAAAAAAATTCAGGCATAAAGTTTGTTCTAGACTAAAGGGTACAAGCTTTTAAAGTTTTAAGTCCCTACATCAAACAATACATTTCAGTAACATACCAACTCCTTTTATTGTCAAAAAATAGTACTAAGAATAGTTTCTCATCTGATTTGGTCTGCATTTGTTCTCCAATTTTCAGTACATCCAGAGGTGGCACTGGTATAGTAACACCGTTGTGATGGCCAGCAACACGAGGCATCTTAGGGTCAATAATCTGTAAGAGAACACAGGACAGTTCCCAATTTTTAAAACTACATGATTTATTTTAAGGAGGGATAACAAATAAAGTTAATGGGAAAAGAATCATAAACTAAACAGCCACTGCATATAAACTGGCTTTGTGTTACATGCTTACATAACTTCTTGACATTCTGCTGAATAGGCAGAGTGGATGCACAGTGGTAAAAAGAACTGAAAAAACTACCTCTAGAGCATTTTTTCACCCATTTTTTCAGTTCTTCTTGAAGTCACATTTGAATTTCACTTATTCCAACTTTGTAGTCTGACAAGCAGGTTTCAGAATAAGAAAGTTGAACCAGGATTTCTAAAAGCAGCTAGTCATAACTGGCCTCATATTTTGGGTTTTGAATTTCAGATACCTTAAAGAAACAACCTATTTTAAGGTATAAGTATTTGCTTCTGCAAAAGACAAGCCCCACACTCAAAATCTGAAGCAAAACAACAAAAAGCAAAAAAACCGAAACAGAAAAAAAAAAATCGGAAGTCACTTTCAAGTATCTTGCATAACCAATTTAATGACTCAGTTTTCAGCAAAACATGCAGTTACAGTCACATGTTCTTTCTAAACAAATGTTGGGGGAGGGGGAAAGATGCTGCTAACATTAAACTAATCAGGCTGATGGAAAAACTCCTTTGTAGGCAGATCACAGCATTATCAAGCGCTCAGCTTCCACCAAGACAGGTTATGTCACTCCGTGCCTGTTCCACCCACCTCCTACCCTACAAACTCGTGTTGTTTTTCTAGCATCCACACTGACACCAATCTTAATCCACAGTAAACTGATTACAGGAACTAAACCAACAGAGAGCTAACTCTGTGAGGAGTTTGCAGAAATCAGAAGCACTTTCTTCTCTTGACTGAAGTTTAATTCCTCAATCAACTCATCACGCACTCAGAAAAACACCAGTGCTGACATAAAGGAGTGGGCAGAAAGGAGCCCTTTGGTCATGGATCAGCTTAAATCTAACACTAAAGTGCCAGCACCATTCAAGAGACAATCAAATAATCAAATTTTCAGCATCTGACCAAAGAGGTTTTGGGTCACCCACTGAGGGCACTTAAACTCAAGTGCTCTGAATCTCACCTCCCCAGGTTTTAACCCCACTCTGTATGATTACATTTCCTGATCTCCCCAGCACACATATATTAAACCAGTCATGACTGTTCAGTCTATTATATAAATCAAGCCATAGTGTATGAACTGTTTCTATAATCCCAAATGCCTGAAGCCAAACACTTCATAAACAACATTTTCTCTGAAAGCTTTAAGTAGAACTGTGTGTATTTCTCCTAAAATAACATGGGCACAACAGCTTTATGTTTCCAGTCCATTGCTCACAACTGGATACAATCATTCAAATTTATTCCGACCTTACCAAGTTTTTTGTTTCTTTAATGAACTGCAGAATCAGAGTATTCTTTATACTCATTTTGCAGCAGAAAGTATTTTATAGCTCCAGCACTAACAAGATATCTGCCAAATGTTTATTCAGTTGATCCTTTAGACAATAATATATATTGCAAAAACAAAGACTACTGAGACAGGTATTGTACATCTCAAAAGATGGGTAGGGTAGTAGAGATTATTCACTTAACATCAGATACTGCAATAATTTTACAAACTGGATACATGGTAAAGAGGGCAGAATAATCCACCTTTATTGAACCTTAATGGGAATTTATCAGTTACCTTAAGTTCATGCACCAACATTCTCAGACCAGAAACAGTATCACTAGTGTACTGATGGGAAGCTGTGTACTTACCAGAGCTGGGTAAGAAGGATATCCACTGCATTTGGCCCATACTACTTTCAGAGGCTCAAGCACAGATGTTGCAGCATCGGTTGAAATCCACATACTGCTATGCCCAACTTCTAAGAACAAATCGTAATTAAATATAAAATTAATATGTTAAAGAATAAAACCTCAGACAAATCTTCTGCAGTTTTGTTTCCTCATCAATATCTCATGATCATTAGAATCCAAATACCAATACCACCTTTCATGCGCATAGCAATAAAAAGCAGGTAATGTTCATAACAGCTCTTTAAATGATACCAGTACTTTGATCCAAGCCTACAGACAAAGAACAAGTTTGTAGACACTTATAGAAACAGCATGTCTTAAACCACCTTAATTCTCAAAAAGCAAGTGTTTGCCAAATACTAACAATCCTTCCCCTTCAAAAAAGCTCAAAAGAAAACATAAAATTATGGTACTCTAAATAACCAGTTTCTTTTGAAACCACGATGACAATCATGTCAAAGAGGTGATGGTACTGAAGATGCAAGTTGCATGGATGTTTCCAAAGTGTTGGATATAACACAGTGGGATTACCACCCAACAGCTTACAATGCTTGTCTGGTACACCTTTCTATTCTTATGCATAAGTTCTAATCTGCATTTTATTTTCTATCTATCTATCTATTTATTTATTTTTAATCAGCCCTTCTGGGTCTCCCTGCCCAGCCCTTTCCTGCAGCGAAGTTTAAAAAGACCAACAGGGTTCAAGGAAGCAGCTGCAATAGTGTTTTTTTCCTTCTCAGGAGGCAGCGTAACAAAAAAATGAGTTTATGTTACTCCTCACTTCTACCAGAATCCTCCACTGTCTTCTCTGTTGCTCACCACTGGACTGAAGCATGAGACAGGTTTAAGCCTTTCAGTCAACCAGAACCAAAACTGGCCCCCTAGACACGCAGGGATATGGTCGAGAGACTGGGCAGAAGACAGTGAGTTATGCCCTCAAGATGGAACTGGGGGTGGGAAATGTACGAAGGAGGTAATGAACATTCACAAGCTGTACAGATGAGGAGGCACTTCTCATATGGGGCAATGTGATACCATAATACAGTTCAGCGGATGCAGTTACACTTTCTTTTAGCAGTAAGGCACTACTTGATAGAAATAGCTCTCTACTTGCTAAAATACAATTTATTCCTCAATTCTTCCCAATCTGCTCCCATTGAAAATGGGCAATTTATAATTAATGGGCTTATTTATAATGCAATGTGGTGTGCAGATATACATTAGTTACAGAGAGTCATGAAGGCTTAGATTAATGTATCCTTCATACACAGACTATTTTTAAAAATACATATAGAACTGTATCTGGTACTGTCATGGTTTAGCCCCAGCCAGCAGCTAAGCACCACGCAGCCGCTCGCTCACTCCCCCTGCCCCAATGGGATCAGAGAATCAGAGGAGTAAGAGTGAGAAACACTCCTGGGTTGAGATAAGAACAGTTTAATAATTGAAATAAAGTAAAACAGTAATGCTAATAGTAACAGTATAATAATAATAATGATATACAAAGCAAGTGATGCACAATGCAATTGCTCACCACCCGCTGACTGACACCCAGACAGTTCCAGAGCAGCGATCCCTACCCCTGGCCAACTGCCCCCCCCCCACACCCCCGCCCCCTCCACTC